CTCGAGCCATATATCTAATCCATCTCCTGTTATGTATATAAGAAATGTATTAGAAATTTATTTTTTATTCAAAATTAAAAAAATTACATTTAAGGATTTAACAGTAGGCAATAGAAAAAATACCTGACATTCGGCTGCTTGCGTTATTATGAGATCTACCACTACCAGTTGTATTAGTATTACTTGTATTTGCAAAATAATCTGCCGCAGACACAAACTGGCGAATAGATATCGTAGGTAAAACAGCGGTAACGCCCGATTTCACTTGATGTCCATGAAGATTACAAGTAGCAACACGAATTGGAGATATCCAAAATTGTATGGCAGTACCTACTTCTTGTAGGTATAAATCAACAGCATCTATGGACAGTCTCGTCATTCTGTATTTTATATCTTCGGAACTTGGGCACCTGTAATATTAAGGATTTTATTTTATAACAATGATAGAGTGTAACAAAGATTATATCATTAATAATTCTTATCCTGTTGCTCTTTATTAAAAAAAAAAAAAAAAAACAACAAAAGATATACCTGTAATGTTTATCAACATCACTCTCTGGACATTGCAGTGGCGCGAGACCATGATGGCATTGAAAAGGTAAATTGGGTGGGCGTAAACTATTCTCGGTATTTTTCGCCATTAACAAGAAAGTTTCTAACGATGTGACAAAGTGATGCAATTGGGGAGAAGTAATTTTCCCGCTTAATTTGCCCAATTGCACTTCGATCAACCACGCGTATTCCAATGTTTCCTGATCCAAACTTCTTCCTTCGTTGCTAAACATAGCATGACCTCTAACTTGCAATGCACTCAACATTAAATGTCCCTGATTTAGATGACGTTCTTTATTTAATCTAGTTACGTTATCTGTAACTAAAGCAATGGCAGGAGAGAGCAATAACTGAAGTTGCGTTTCCCTGTAACCCTTTCTCATTTCAAACCCAAAACGTTCTAAAAGTATAACCGGGCACGGTGGATCATTTTCATTACAATTTTTTATCAGATGAGCTTGAATGTCGTGCATAGTAACACCAACAGTCACTTCTAACGGTCTATAATCTCTCGAATCAAACGGCTTAGATTTTATTTCTTCATCTTCCATAGATGCCTCAATACTGCTGTTTTGTACATCTTTATCTTTATTTCTTTCCGCAGATGTTGAAGTATTTCTACTTTGTTGCATATCGGTAAACATTTGATAATCTCCAAATACATTCTCCTTCAAGTGCATGAAGTTTTTTAGCAAAGATCCATATAAAATCAGTATGGATGGTCCAATTTCAAGTTCCAAACTAACTTTATCAGGCGTTATGGACTGCGGATCAAACTTTTGTGCACCACTTCTTGCCCATTGTAAGCCTGGGGATTTTCTACATTTAGGAATTCGCATAGGAGACAAGAGAATTTCTTCCTTTTCTGGAGTTGTTATATTAGCTTGTGGAGTAGGACCTAAAGGTGGGCATAAATGATAAATATAATTAATACTCAACGCCACAATTGGCACAGACCAGCAGTCGACCCAGCCTGACTCCTTTTGACAAAAGTTTCTCCATTTCTTGCCTCTATTCAATTCATGCAAGTGCTTATGAGATCCATCACGCGTCATGATTTTTGCATTCTTATCTAATGCCAATAAAATAACGCGATTGGTATTAACTTCTGGCAAATAAAACAAAAGATCAACGCTCTCTCCTTGAATCCAAAAACGTAAAGGTATCGTGACAGGTAAAAAGTCTACGAATGGAAGATCGAACGAGAGATCGAAAAGCTCCCCGCAAAAAGCGATGTGCGCATTCTCTTGGTTCTGAGACGAGCAATCGATCCAATTGTATTCATTGCAGAGCGTAATCAGTTCAAATTCCTTCAAAAGTAAACTAAATTTCCAAGTATATGGAACAAAGTGTAAAATATCAGGTCTCGCTTTACTCGCCCAATCATTGATCATATCTTGAAAAAAGTCTTTATGTGAATAAACTAAATTAGCAGTTGCTTTACATCCAGTTAAATTCAGCGTCCATTCTTGATGATCGTTCCATCTGATGGGATAATGACACTTTACTCCAAATTCTAAGGTCTCACTTTCAACCAAACTCCGATATTGTAGACTAGTTGTAGCTTCCAAATGCAGAAGTTGACCCGTTATCTTTGTAGTATAACCATCTTGCAATACTATCCATGGCATTGTAATTTCTAAATACGATCCTGGTCCTACATTAACGTGAACAGCATTTGTTTCTCTATTTTTACTAAAAAGTATATCAACCGTTGCCTCATTCAATGTTGACAATCTAATGTCGAACGATTGAACTTGTCTTTTATCACCTGGTTTAGGTAATTTTGTAATCTTTAATGGTTGGTAATCATTGGGAAAGAAAAACTTAAATAAATGCTCTCGTTGCCTATCGGCCCAAGGACCATAACTGAAATCTGTGCCCTTTCCGCACTTAATATCGATACCCCATATGGGAGGCATTGCTTCAACCATGTCTCCATTCACCAGTTGTATCATTTCAGGATGTTCCGGTACGACACCGGCTTCGTCCATGTAATAATAAACTTCCATATTATTTGAACTCAAAACGACGAAACCTTCTCCCATGTATCTGGGTGGATCGTCAACCATTCCGGTATATTTCGGGCTAGGGGCCAAAATAACTTTAAAATTTTCGGCTTTGCACTTGGTAAAGTGCATAAAATGATCGTGCCTGGACGCTGCTGGTTTTGTAGAATATACAAAATGTGCTTCCTCCACTGTTATCGATAACGTAGTTGGTACTAATCGATTACCGAATACCAGCCTTCCCTAGAAAAGAAGAAGAACGACATTGCGCGGCTCGGTTTCACACAAGTTTGTTTGCGAACAAATAACAAGTAGAATCAAAGTAATTTCTTGTTACTAACTGCGCAAATATCTAGTTTAATGACTGGTATCAAATCTCTCCAAGTACGTGCAATCACATGAGCTTCCTTCTTCCTGATGTTATCCACATGACGAGATACATCCATTGCGTTAATTTGCGAATGACGAGTTTCATTAGCTGCATTATTTATAGATTCCCCATCCAAATCGTCACTGTTTATATCATGACTTTCCTCATTGGCAAACATTTGTGGTGTAAGACCAAAAGATTTTTCTAATTGTGCATAAAGTTGACAGCGATTATAAACGTGTAACTCGAAGCCATTTAACATAACTGATAGCCGTGTGTCAGAATGTGAGAGATCTACAATATAGAAAGTTTCATAAGATATATACCGTTATTTCATTTTGGTTTTAAAATTTATATACGTATTATTTTATTACATTAGACATTATTAAGAAAAACACTTTACCTTCCGATACATCTTTAGGAACATAACTTCTCCACCACCTAAATATGAGCCAACCATCCTGAATTCTAAAACTATAATCCGTTGTGATATAAACTATGTCCCTAAACATTATCTTGCCACTTAAAGCACTTAGTGTGACAGATCCTGTGAGTGAGTAAAGTAAAAATGGAATAAACATCTTGAAATACGTTGTCGATTCTCTGTTAATTATATACTACATGTTCTTACCAACTTTAACATATCCGTCTCTAATAATAAATCGATTCAACAACTTTGTGAATATATAACCAGCCACTCTACTATTATAATAAGCGATATAAACAATCCAGAATATGGCAGATACTAGCGAACATAGCAACCATATAAAGTTGCTATCCATCTTAAGATCATCCAGGATGACATGATCGGAATAATTCCAAAATGCCGATTCAACCACAAGTAAAGATGGAACTGTAGCATTGGATACTTGGTTCTCTTCCATGATAATGCTATTTTCCTTTGACTCTCACGTAGAAACTATTATTCATAGAATTTTATATACTGAAACAATAAAAAAGAATCTCTTTAACCCTTCGCAGAACATGTGTCATTTTCTGCTGCTCTGCGAAGGGTTAATATTAGCAATACAAAAATTTATATACATGCAGGGTGTCGCATGATAAATGTACTAATGTTACTAATCTTTTACAACGTATGAAAAATAAATGACAATTTATTATGTTAGCATAAATCTATTTCTATACGTTGAATTCACATCCAACTATTATCTCACTTGTCTCAACATAACCTACTCATTTCTATACAGTTGTAAAAAAGTCAATTAAATTCAATCGAGTTTGATGCTTGTTATCCAATATTTTTTTTAACAACATACTTACAATCAACAAAATTGTGCTGACACATCAAAGGAAATTCTCGTGATATTAAAGCATTTAATATCACGAGAAACAAGGTACGCGTTTTGCATCTAACAAACGTAAGTTGAATAAACCGCATTTGCGCATTCACCGAACAAAAATTATACAACAGATTACAGAAATTTAACGTATCTCTCCGAAAAATAATTTATCGCAACGATCTTGTCTGCGGAAAACAGCGATTACCTGTTCAATGGAAAACGACATTTTACTTGGATGATTTACCTCTATTAGATAGTCGGGCATAAAGCATATTGACATTTTGTCGTGCCATTCATATTTCTACGCCTGTCATTATAATAATCCTATTGTCATTATAATAATCCTGAAGAGAAATGTCAGAGGGAGAGAGAGAGAGAGAGAGAGAAATGTCATCAATGGACAATGACACATAACCTCACACTCCATACTTGACATATGTATATGCTTCACCTGCTTCACCAATGCATTGTTAAGGTAAGTCCGTATGACGGCGTCAAAATATTCTTAGGGCCAAATTCGACTGTGATTGGTCAATTCTTGCGACTCACGACTTGCGACTCGCATTGTAGACCCAGCATGATACGGGCTTTAGGGTAGGTGGTCTCGGTGTCTCGGTTCCGAAACTCATCGGAAAACCTATATCCTAGCGAGTATTATAATTACTTGTATGTTGAAACAAACTAATCAGAATATAATATTTTCAGGTTATATTTGTTATATTTATCTGAATTTTTAATGAAATATTTACATTAATACAATACATTTATTTTTCAGTTGCTCTGTAGTTTTATTCTGTATTTAGTTATTGGAGTATTTATACTGCTTTTTCAGTTAAACAGAAGGTTATATGTGGAGGAAACAGTGTATATAGAGAGAATTTTTGAGAATTTCATTTTATTAGAATTGTTCCATTATATTATTCCTCACTATATTATATTATTGCTATATGTTTACGTAAACGTAAACATTCCAACTTTCAACTTTGTTCAAAATTGTTTCAGATTTATTAATGCTTATATATATATATATATATATATATATTAGACATATATAACTAGCAATAAATTATTCAGAACTTAAGATGACACGTTTATTAACCAGAAGCCCAATATTAGCGTTTATATTTCCATTTGACAAAAAATTTAATGATGGGCACGATAAGCCTGTTAATATGCCTGCTAATGCAAAAATAAAACCACTGGATGACGAATTGGGTTGGGACAGAGTAAAAAAAATATTTTCTTTGGAGTAAGTATCTTATTATATATATCTAGTTATAAAATCTTTTTGCTTTAATTGTATACATAAAATTTTTGCACAATGGATTATTGTAATTTCATTTTCCAGTCAAAATGGCATGTTAACGAAAGAATTGCAATCTATTACAAATATAACGCTATCAGGTATCGTAATTGGCACAGCTATAGGTGGTATGGGTGTAACTAAGGATACAGTAAATAATTTCATTGCAAATAACGAAGCAACACGTTTCATAAGTCATTTTGATGCAAAACGAGATCTACAACAAACAGTTCTTGTAAATTTTTTAAGGAAGGGCGGAAGATTGGGGGCAAAACTTGGAACGTTTTGTTTTTTATTTAGGTAAGTCTCTTTTTTTATGGTTTACAGCTTACAGAAGACTATAAATAGACAACATTTTCTTTTATAGTTCCATAACGACATGTACAACAGCATATCGAGGGAAGCTAGCGGTAGAAAATTATATGTTAGGTGGTTCCGTAACAGGATTGATATTTAAAATGAACATGGGGCTTCGAGCGATGCTCGTTGGCACTGGACTTGGTGCTATATTAGGTGGATTTTGTGGTGGGGTATCGATCCTTATTCTGAAATTTTCAGGAATAACTATAGATGAAGTATTAGAGGCCCAAAAACAGTGGGTAAACTCGAGGAATAATAAGTAAAGTATTTGCAATTTTATAATTTAAATATTATAAATTTGATATTTCTTACAAGGATCTTATATCATGTACATTCAATATATCACGCTATGCCATTGAATGTACAACTTATAAAGTTACACTAGCTATTTTTTTCAATACATTAATAATAGGTATCTTTAATAATTATAGGATGCGTGAGAATATAAAAGAGTGCATGAGTACTGAATTACCAGAAATTAAAAAATTATACGAAGAAAATAGAAAACTGCAGAGTGTACAAAGTGAAGACGTTGAAAACAGAAAAAAATAAATTTATAATTATATAAATAAATCTTGTACATAGAAAGACATCTATGAGTTTGAAATTTTTATTATCCATTTGCCATTATCTTCAAGTATTGTGCGAGATGCGAAGTGATCCAAAAATAATATATATATATATATATATATATATATATATATATATATATATATATATATATATATATATATGAATTTTACACATAATTTATCACAGTAAGTGTAAAGTTTCATGAATCTCTTATACATTATATTGTATGTATAAAGATTGACATATAGAGAGATCAAACAGTAAAATAAATAATTATGTACTTTAAATATATATGTATTTACAGAATAGGCCAAAATAAATGTCCTTAATTAATCTCTTCTTTTAATTAAAATAAAGGAAATAAAATTCAAGCATATTTCATAACAAAAATGGGTGCATAAAAATACATTAGAAAAAATTACTACCCTGTCCTACTTTTATTTTGACGTTATTAACCTTGCAAATAGTTTTTTAATTTTCTTGTCCGGAGGATGCTAACTCCTGAACTTTGGTTATACGCTTAGCACCTCTGTTTGGTGGACCCTTGGGTTTAGCGAATTTTGGCTGATGTAAACTGATTTTTGGATGCAATTCCTCTTGAAAAAATTCTTCGGTAAGTTCCTCTCCAGCGGCTACTTCAAGCTATGCACGTAAATTGTGAAAAAATTATAATATGATGTATATAATGTACACACATCTAATAGAATTAAAATTTAAGAAATAAATAATACATATCAACAGAAGCATGAATATTATAGTTATACGTAAGAGCATTACCGTTATAGAAATGGAGAAAATCAGAAAAAAGATGAGATATATGGCATTATAGCAGGCCTATTCTGCAAGTTGTGACAAAACATGCCTTTAAATCTTAAAAATAACTACATACCCATTTAACGAGTGTATCGCCAAGTCATCTTTAGCAATAGCAAAATACATACCCAAGTGGTCCTTAATAACTGTATTATTATATATACCTAGTATAAATGTATACAATACTGGATATAATATAAAAAGAAACACCAAATTGTGAGTTTAAGTCGCATAATGCTTTATTATTTCCAGTATATTTAATATTGGCAAGATATACAATTTTTTTGAATTTAATGAGGTTCTCTAGATAAAACTGAAATATCCAGAGTTAAGATAGAATGAAAGAGTTACAGAATAGGCCTGTATGACACTTACAATTAACTAAAATATACTAGATAATATTGTGGGTCACGATTTTTTTAAAACAAAATACGTATGTTTAATTAGTCTGCAATATAGTACAAGACTTAATTTAAATATATTTATGCAAATATGAGCCAAAAGCTGTTCTCTTTCCTCTTCTGTTTTGGACATCTGTTAACTGGATCATAAGTTAAATAATTCATTAAAAATAAGGAACGTAAGGAACATAATTAAGATTATAAAATTGCTCTAAAACCATATAAAAATCGTACTAATATAAAAAATGTTAACTGTACGTGGAAGGAAAAAAATACAAGAATTTGGCTCACAAATTATTTTCACAGCACAAGTAGATCTGTTTTTATTCATGCTGTTTTTATTCATCATTTTTCCGCACGCATATATATTTTAGACTAAAACATTTAAAAAGTTTATAAAAAGCTACAAGTGTTAAAAAAATACAGATCACAAAAAATAGAATGCCTCTCATATATTTTGTTGCTGGTTGTCAAATTGTAGTCCTATCCGCTGTAAATTGCATGTCCACTTAAATATTAAATTTGAGAAAATTTTCTAGCTATATATCTTATTATTAAAATAATAAATTGTTACAATTAATAAATTAAATAACGATCTTAATACATCCCAAATAATATAGCCTTTCAAGATTTCAATATAAGAATAACAGACGATTAAACTGACTTTGTTTAGCGTAATATTGTAAGCGTAATATTTAACATGTATTAATAGCTGATAGGACTCACCAAGATCTCAGTCTTACATCATACACATATTTGTAGAATCTAATATTTTGTAGCATTTACAATAGTATAGAACACGATATAAAATTTTATATGTAAAATAACTAGTGTTATCACACTATCTTGTAGCTGAAATAATAATGTGCGAAAAAAATATATCCACATTAATGTGGCGTTTGCATATTTATCACTCATTCTACTACGTTATTATCATGTTGAAAATATATAGAGAAGTTAGGTAAATGATTTTAGGTCTTTCTCTCTCTTTCCTTCTATTTATCTACCTAGAGCGCAAATGGAATTTTTCCTAACTCTCTACTCATCACATATGGTATATGCAAGTTACCACAGATCAATATTAAAAATATTACATCATCAAGTCCTATATATTATATATAAACATTTGAATGAGTTTAAAAGCCAAGCCTCCGAATTTTACTCAAAAAATACTTAAAAAGACACATATCACCTTTATAAGACTAGGAACTAATTCAGTATGCTCAGTTAATATATATTTATTTTTAAACATACTTTTTCTAGGAAAATATATATTTTAGGTATAGGAATATTGCATGTAAAATATATATTTATATATAAAGTTATTGGAATAAAGAGGAACTCTAGATATGAATAGAATGTGTTAGGTTCTGTATATATAAGTAAATTACAGATACTGCACATTTCACACAGTTGCTATCACAATGACATAGTACTCATACTAAACATAAAAATTAAAAAGTGAGGCTTAGCTTTCAATGTCAAACAAAGTAGTCTAACTCCATCTCGGCACTATTGTTCACATAAATGAATAATTTCATACAGTATACATATATGTGAAACATGAACTATATGGGGTTATCTGTATCATAGGCATGTCACACTTATTATTAATAGATATAATGGCGTTTTGCAGAAAGCCTTCCACAATGATAATTTTGCTTTTAAAATTTAGAAAAATACACCATCTGGTCTACTCTGTTTTGCTACTTAGACGTATGTATCACTTTGATAAATCAATTCTAAATGCTGATAAACAACATAGATTAATTTTCTTTTGCATGATGCATTACATTTTCTGCTACTTGTAAATTAACTTGTAACATATATTTATATATGTATATATAACTAGATAATCGTAATTTGCTCTAACATGAAACACTGGAAACCCATTACTTTATTTTAATTGACATATCCTATGTCAATATCATACTATCACAATTCTGGAATTCATGAAGGAAGATATTTGATGGGTAAAACATCACAAACACTTCAATTAGTAAGAAGCAATAATAACAAGACAAGAGACAAATGCTTTAAGCCAGTTTTAGCTTAAGACACAAGACCGTTTTTGTTTTGATTTTTTCTCTGGTATGAATTGAGTAGGGGCACAAGGTGTTGACGGAGTTGCAGGAGTTATTGCAGCTGTGTCTTTTATGCTTGGAGGATCTTCCAACATATCTGCCAACTCTTCTCCACTATTTACTTCCAACTGGGATTGCAGTTATATAATACACAGAGATGGCAGTTTTATATATATATACACATATATACATATAAAAAAATACTTAATAGTATTAGGAGATAAAAAATAAATAAAATAATATGTAGTAGTATTAGACAACTTAGAACAACAATAGTCGTATATCTATTATAGAATATTAGGATTGCACGTATTAATAGAAATATAGTACAAAAGTATAGCACAAAAGAAAATACATATAGATTTCCATTCGAGACTCAAAAAATAGATCAAATATATGATAGATTTGCGTTCAAAATTAATAGCTATAGTCACACATATGATATTAATCGCATTCTTTTAATCAACTTTTATTAACTTAAAGAGCATGTTCACCTGACTGAAATATACGACTTGAAACTTAAAACAATAATGATAAAGAAAAATATTTACATAAAACGCATCAGAGTTCAAAAGCAAAGTAGTTATAGTGAATTATTAAGATATTAAAAATACCAACCTTTTTTGTTACGGTTACTCCTAGAGACTGGATTAGGTCGAGCAGAGGCGCTTTGCACGAGGAATATAACATCCTTTCTTTAATACTGCAACTATATCCTGGCATGCTATATATAAAAACTAAAAAAAAAAAAAAAAGAAAAAATTATTCCTTATGCTCTCTTATGATAATGGTGTACAAAACAATGGTATATTACTCATTAGCTTACCTATGCTTTCCGTGTAATCTCCTTCATGAGTGTGTTTGAAATTATAAAGATGATATCTAGCAGCATCAGATGGAACTTTAGTAGGTAATTTATCCAAGGAAATATCGCAAGCTGTGACTAAATGTATCTTTTCTTCTTCCAATTCAATTTTCAGTTGGATGTATTCGTGAATCCCTTTACCTAGTTCCGTAATGGCTTGCTTGGCTTCATCCGTCACTGGGAAAGCCACGCCGCTCAATGTCTGATGTCTCGTTTCGACGCTATAGTCCGTAATCGCAGTAGTCTTCTTCAATTCAGCTAATTCTTCCTCCGCCGTTGTCAATGGTACAGGCGCCGTATCGTTTCTCTTATACTTGTGATAGCCATCTAATGTAACATCTTCTGGGACAGTGCCATGTAATTCTTCTTTTATCGAGGATGTACCAAATTCCTGCTTTAGCGTAGCTTTGGTAGAGGCGTAAAGCATTTTCTGCCGCACTGGTGCCGTATCTGGAGACCAGGATATAAATAACCAATCATAGCCAGAATCTGGTGACTTTGTATCCAATCTATAAAGGATATAAGCTGGTTGATTTTCCACGATCAGCGGCTTGATCATTTTATCGTAATCATCTTGCCATTTGTTGACTGGCTTCAAACTAGACGCTGGAGTTAGTTCCTCTGGAAAACGGAAGAGTAGTAGATGTTAAAGAGATGCCACGTGTCTCTCTGCTTTGATCTTCAAATCTTACAGCAGAACAAACGATATAACGCACGCTGCTATAAGATCCAATAAAAAATTCTTTTGCTACAATCTAGAACTTACCATTCTCTATCGAAATTTTTAGTACTCGTATCTTTCCGTCGCGGCATTTCGCAAACAACTTCTTCAATGCGTCATTAGCTAAAAGAAATCAACCGATTCATTACGATATTATTGACGAAAGATTGACAACTAACAATAAAACTAAGGAAAAGACCCTTATCGATTCACTACGATAAATCTTCGCCGTGGCGATGTGCACCGCGAAGAAACGTATAATCACCTTTAATTCCCGTCTGATGTGACATTATTTCACGAGGAAACCCTTGGTTGCTGCCGTCGAAGGTGGTCGGACTGTCGGACTGTCGGAGTACGTCGACTACGTCCGAGATCCGAGAATCCGAGACTCGAAACCGAGTTTTTTTTTTTTTTTTTTTTTTTTTCAATCTGCCAAAGATTTGGGGAGCGTCCCGTTTGACCAAGTTGCGCGTGACCACAGCCACTCACAGCTCCCGGTGCCTGGAGTTTTTCCACTGGACCAGCCAATCAAATATTTTTCTTTTAAAATTAGCCAATTGACGACACGGTCAACAGAGTCCCACTCGGCTTACGGGCGGCGCTGGACAGGGCCCAGCTGGGTCGCTGGGTGGTAGTCCCCAGGGACAGGGTTGACAGCTCTCTCGCGAGAAGTCGCGATTGTCGCGCGAAAAACGCGTCTGCTAATGCTCCGCATTGCTCGCGTTATTGCGCACGCGTGGAATCCGTTTCTCTCCACTCCACTCTCCATCTGGCATCTGACACCTGGGGGCTGGGACTTGGGAGTTGGGAGCAGTGGGAGGACTGGTATCTGACGTATCCTAACGGCGGATACCGGATACAGCATACAGCATACATCATACAGCATACAGCGAGATCTGTACGTCAAAAGGTACGAGCGGCCGCTTATATTTTGAAGGTGTTATTTCCACTTTGACCTCTCGACGGAGCTGGATTTGACCGCACGGGACTCAATATGTTGGCCCTCATCAATCGGATCTTGGACTGGTTCAAGTCTCTCTTCTGGAAGGAAGAGATGGAACTCACTCTCGTCGGTCTGCAGTACAGTGGGAAGACTACCTTCGTGAATGTCATAGCGGTACGTGAGTCATGGACCTCTTTTATTTATCTCGCGCGAGTCGTCCTCGAGACCTCGGGAACGTTGATGTCGATAGTGATGAGACGGCCTCGGCCTCAGCCTCAGCGTGTCGCAACTCGCAACGTCTTGGTTAGATTCGATAACCCCTTCGAAGTAACTCCGTCGCTGTTAACGTACACCGTATTACTCCGTATTCCGTATACGCCCTTACGTCAAATGATTTAACTTTAACATATGATTATCGATGCGTGTTCGCGTTCGCGTTTGCAACCGTGATAGTCATTAAATCGTTGCTGCTTATTTTTCATTTCTTCTCTCTCGTTACCTAGCTCTCTTTGTTTTTCCCCTCGCCCCCTTTTTTGACAAAAGTCGGATTGTTGTACCATATCGCGCGGATGTATAGTAAAACTTATAATCTCTCTGCACTGTACTTGATCATAACTTGAATTTTTTTCACAAATCGACGACGTGAAAAATAAATTTACTTATGCCAAATTTGAACACGTTTATTCATTGTACAATGTACATCAATCTTCGTGCAATCAGAATTATGTTGACATTTAAAAATTATAATCCCTGTATCATCAGAATTATTAATGGTACGTACACGTCATTGTTCTTAAACATGGACAACTAACAAAATCAACTCTTTTTTTTTTTCTAGTCGGGACAATTTAGCGAAGATATGATACCGACGGTAGGCTTTAACATGCGCAAAATAACCAAAGGAAATGTCACTATAAAAGTATGGGACATCGGTGGTCAACCAAGGTTTAGATCTATGTGGGAGAGATATTGTAGAGGAGTAAACGCCATAGTTTACATGGTGGATGCAGCTGATTCAGAAAAGATCGAGGCAAGCCGCAATGAGTTACACAATTTGTTGGATAAGCCACAATTGTCTGGGATACCAGTGTTGGTTCTGGGTAATAAAAGGGATCTACCTCATGCATTGGACGAGAATGGGCTTATAGAAAGAATGTAAGTTACCCACTTGGCTACGTGTTATATGTTTGCAAGTGTATAGATACTTTTGATATACAATATATATGTCTGTTCTAGGAATCTATCTGCGATTCAGGACCGTGAGATTTGTTGCTACAGTATTTCGTGTAAAGAAAAAGACAATATCGATATTACGTTACAGTGGCTCATAGCGCATTCAAAAAGTGGAGTTCGTTAATACTCTTAAAATATCCCATTTGTTAGTATCGGCGAGTCTTTGATACTGATAACAGTATAGGGATCACGTGTGAAACGAGCGCATTGAGCAAACTTCGTTCAAAACTGAGTCATTATTGTAGAAAACTACTTGAGCTTTAGCTGATCTAAGTTGGATGGTGCGAATATGCCATGGTAAAATTTAAAAAAAAAATCATGCTTGTATGCCAAGAATATGCTCGTGTGACGTATACCGTAAGGCACTTATTTCCCGCGAGCACATTAGTAATAAGAAACAATTTTTTATATTTTCGTTTTAGATAAGTCCAAGAATATATTCCAATACTTAATAACAATTAAATATAATTAGTATCTCTGTATTTTCTATGATTGCCGCTATTGTGTAAAGCTGAAATAATACCAACATAATCGCAGTTAATTATTGTGATATTATAGTCTAGATGTCGACATTCTGATTTTGTCTTGTACCCTCGAAAGATACCAAACGTTTCATGTATAAATTAGAGAAAATTGTAGCTATTACGAGATACACACGCGCAAAGATATCACTATTAATTAATATACTATAGTATGTATGTATGTAGGTATATGTGTGTGTGTGTGTGTATATATATATATATATATATATATATATATATTTACATACATACTATACTATACATACTATAGTATATTTACACACACACACACACCTCGAAGAAACTTTAATAACAAATAAAAACGACATATTGCAAACATCGCCCTTGTTCTTTTTACTTCAAGAAAATGATAATCCCGAGTCGAATGCTATTCTCGTGCGTTTATGTAAACGTACGTGAAGAAGGGTGACGGGACAGAAAAGAGGGACGAGGGAGAGAGAAATATTTCGCAAAGACAATAGGAATAAAGCGATTAAAAATTTGATGATGGTAATGGAAACGACACAAAATCACGTCGAGAAACAGCTCCGAAAGCATTGTGAGATGTATAAATTCTATTGGAAATATCTAAAAGAATTGATTGCAATAGAATAGATTTTATTTACTCTGCAGCGCGCGATACCAAAAAGTTTAAATGCTCGCACATTTTTTCGTTATTTATCCTATAAATAGGTTTCTTTTCATTTATTTCTATCTATAAAGTTTTATATAATACGCTTACGTTCCCTTAATTTCCACTTTTCTGTGGTTATTGGTTCAACGTGCTTCTAATAAATCAAGTCCATATTTCTAAGTAACTCGGATCGATCGGCTACACTTCGTGGCACAACTATAAACTTGAGTCACAGAGATGAGCTGTTTTACTAGACTGTATACGTTGAAACGGTTCGATATTCATTTGTACCGAATTCAAAAAATACGTATTAAAAAAAAATCTTTACAATAAAATTTTAAAATAGTGGAAGGGAAAGAGTTTTCCCAAGTTCAACGTGCTGAAATAAAGTTTCAGCTAACGTGAACTACGCTTACTTGACAATATGGTATTTCAATTTCTATCACGTAGGTGTTCGTTACAGCCAATTTTTGTTATATTTATTAACTGTACATGACTCACCCTTTTAATAAAGTGGCCACAATAATATGCATTAACGTGTTCGCAAAAAAATCAGTTACATATTACAGCAGAAAAGATTATGTCCTCGAGGTCTCGTCAACGATTTGCGGATACATGTACATGATAAAGATAGAATCGATTATCGTGTCTCCTATTTTATAATGCGTATGTTATAATACAGAATCATGGATGGAATGATACGTTTCCATCTTTCAGGGACAGAAAATATGCTCACATACATACAGTTACATTTACATACGGTTGAAGATCCAAAAGGCAAATATATAATAGAATATACAGAAATGGATAATTTTATATGAAACATTGTAAAGGTGATACCGACCATATTAAGAAAAAATAAAATTAATAAATAAAATGAAATAAATGTAAAAATATAGGAGAATATTATTTTTTATAAAATTTGAAAACATAAATTGTCTATAAACGTCGATTAAGAATACTGCTTTTTTTATTATAATTTCTTTGGAACGTTCCATATACAAAATATCCTGTTCGACTGGAAAATATTTCAATGATAGATTTTTTTACCACGTTTGAGCAGCTTTATGCCTCAGTTAATTTCAAATAGACTTTAGCAGATTTTAATACTTGTTTATGACGATATTTAATATTAAAAATTATTACGACACGTAACAACAGCTCAAGTACGTTTCGCAAAAAAGTCGGTTTTAAAGCATCTACCTTTCAATCATCTCCCAGTGATATTGACATTTTGCATTATTACAATCTGTCTATATTGATTCGATTTTTAAATTAACTCATTAAAGTCTACGTACAATCTTAGTTTTTACGGTTTTTGTTTGGTTTTCGAGTATTTTGAAAATAGATGACATTTTTACACAAATTCTCCATGCTAAAGTATATTGCTTTGGGTTATCCAATAAATTAAGATACACAAGTTTCATTTGGAGATTACAGAAAACTATGGGCTTTAATGAGTTAATCTCTCAAATTTGTCAAACATCTATTGTAACTTTCTGTTTAATCATTGTATGTTACATTTGAATGTCCATAAAATACATATATTTGCATCTATATGCATATATGTATGTATGCATTTGTCATAAGCTATATCTACATATATATGCATGCATGCCATTTATTTACATAAATTCGAAAAAAAGATACTCTATGCTTTTTCGCCCCTTTTTTCTTCCTCTGAAAAAAAGACGGTGAAACTTTATAAATTCAATTATACATGTATCCGAATAATACTTTACAGTTACAAGTTTATGTCATACTTGCATGAAGATACATATTTTTTTATATTTCTTATATAATAACGCTATTATTAATAATATCCAAAATTCACTGATTTTGATCTTTTTATGTCTATTCAATCTACGTCGTGTATCCGCACTTCGTATACATTTACACGAAGATATTGCCACATAATTAATAAGCAATATTAAGTCGATGATAAACTTCCTATTAATACAATATCTTTTTTGTTGCGCGTTATGTTCCGCTGAACAAAACGATTAAAAACTTGTTAATTTATAAATTATTATATTAGGTGTCCACGTACACAGAATTGACGAAAAATGGTCATACAACTTCGTGAATTCTGGACTCTCGATCCTTCCTCGACAAAAATTTCGAGGAAGTAACATTTTTGTATCTATTTAAAAAAAAATCGACATTACATCTTGTAAGAAATTACATTATGTCTCCACTTTTCGCCAATATCGGAACACTTCCTATACTTGATCTTATCATATAATCATTGCACAGAATAATCTTCCTATTTTATACAAGGTGACGTGACTCTATTTCTGTTCTGTTCTCCATTTAAAATTGGATTTAACAATAGCACATTATGGATTATTCTACTATGACTAGTTTTATGCATCACTAGACTTCATTCAAGATTCGTTATATAAGAAAACTCGCAAAGCATCCGTGCTTAAATCAATTTTTTGTCATATTATGTGCATAAGAAATGTTTAAATACTTGTCACGATTATATCTCATCCGACATCTTTCTCTTCATACATATAGTTATGGCATTCTATATTCATCTTGAAATATATGTGTGTGTGTGTGTGTGTGTGTGTGTGTGTGTGTGTACATTATATGCTACATAATTGAATAAAGGAACCTGTATTTAGTACATCGTTTGGTACAAACATTATTTGAAAGTTCCTATTATAAATGTTTTTCACACGCATACATATCTCTTCGATTTGCACTCACACACACATATACTCATATACGCAGTTTCCCAAAATTTCCTG